CCTCCCTCCCTCCCTCCAATAAAAACATATTGGGCTGCCCGGGGCTGCTGGTCTCAGGCTCCCATTGGTTCCTGAACATCTGGTCCCTGTCACTGAGATGATGAGCTCCTCACCATGAGAAAAGAAATATCATCTTCCTTCATCTCCATCTGCAGCCGCTCAATCTCATGGGCTAGAGTCTCTGTGTCTTTCTTGAGCTGCTTCATCTTCTCCTCCACCAAATGCTGCTTCTGCCTCGCCTCCTCGGCCATGACATCCAGGATGGCCTGCTCCTCCCCTCTTAAGAACTCTCGAAGCTTTTCAAACTCCTGCCGGATTCTCCTTTCCAGCCAGGTAGCCTCCACCTGCAACAGAGAGCAGGAAGGAGGCACAGAGGATCAGACCCTGGAGGGAACCTAAACTGTCACCTAACCCAGTGACTCAGATTTTTAGCAAAGGAACTCGACTTTCAAAAGAAACCTATGCAGAACCCAAATGGATAAAATATAGATGAAGTTTTCTTATCACAAATTTACAAGTTTAAATTTGAAATAAGTCAAACAGCACAATGAAGTTGTTTTTGATTAATATTTTAAAAGCTGAAATTGCTGCTTATATATGACAACTGTGGTCTTGTAACTTCCTCAATATATAATATTCTGTATCTTGTTTAAGCTGCACAACAGCAAAAGAAATCCTGAGTTACAGAAAAGAATTGATGCAAATAGCAACTATTTAAAAACAATTAATTGCGCCCTGACTGGTTTGGCTCAGTGGCTAGAGCGTTGGCCTGCGGACTGAAGGGTCCCGGGTTCGATTCCAGTCAAGGGCATGTACCTTGGTTGCGGGCACATCCCCAGTGGGGGGTGTGCAGGAGGCAGCTGGCCGATGTTTCTCTCTCATCGATGTTTCTAACTCTCTATCCCTCTCCCTGCCTCTCTGTAAAAAATCAATAAAATATATTAAAAAAACAAACAAACAAACAAAAAAACAATTAATTGCTTTCCAATCTTAGGATTTCAAATTTGTTTGATCAAGAGGCTTACCAAAAGAGCAGCAGGAAATATTTATTTAAAAATAGAATCATTGCCCTGGCTGGGTAATTCAGCTGGCTAGGGCGTCATCCCGATATGCCAAGGTTGCAGCATCAATCAACAGTCAGGGCACACACAAGAATCAACCAACGAATACATAAATACGTGGAACAACAAATCAATGTTTCTCTCTCCCCCTCTCTTAAATCAACAAACAAATAAAAACTGGAATCATGAATAATATGCATACTTAATCATAACCACAAAAAGCTTTAAAAAAGTAATAAAGGTAAATACTTATTGATTAAAATATACAAATTGTATAGTTCATGATGACTATCGGAAAAACACCTCAAAATGTGCGCTCTAGCAATGGAAGGTTAATAATCCATATCTTTTTTTTAAAAAAATATATTTTATTGATTTCTTACAAAGAGGAAGGGAGAGGGATAGAGAGTTAGAAACATCGATGAGAGAGAAACATCAATCAGCTGCCTCCTGCACACTCCCTATTGGGTATGTGCCTGCAACCAAGGTACATGCCCTTCACCGGAATCGAACCTAGGACCCTTGAGTCCCCAGGCCGATGCTCTATCCATTGAGCCAAACCAGTTAGGGCAATAATCCATATCGTTGGATTGAAAATTCAATATATGTTTATGGCTCTGACAATCTGATGATAAAATGGTTCACTAAAAAAGTGAAAATGACCAAAAAAAGTGAAAATATTTCATTGAAAAAGAAAAGATAAAGTAGGAAAAGTATTTTCCCATATATAAATATATATAAGAACATATTATTCTTAATATACAAAGTGCTCTTATGCATCCACAAGGAGAAAATATAAATATTCCAAGAAATGCAAATGGCTATTATACTTGTGAAAGGATCTACAAACTTAGTAAAAATCCAAGAAACGCAAAGGAAGTGAGACAGCGCTATTGAAATATCAAGCTAAAAAGTCCGATAATGTACAGTGGAAGAGAGAGTGGAATCTGGGATGATTCTTATCACACAGGAAGATAAAAACAGAGCAGGCAGGAAAAAAACAGCCAGAAGACTTAGCTCATTTAAGGAACAGGAAGAAGGCCAATGTGCCTGGAACTGAGCACAGGCCAGCCTGAGAGGAGATGAAGCTGAGGGGCAGGAAGGTGTTGGATGAGGGCCTTGGAGGCCACGGTGAGGAGTCTGGATTATATCGTGGGTCATGGAAGCCATTAGACAATTATAAAGAGAGGAGTGACACGATCGATGCATTTTCTAAAAGAGCAGGTCACTCTGCAGAGAGTGGACTGTAGAACAAGAGTGAAAGGAAGTGCCCTAGCTGGTTTGCTCTGTGGTTAGAACACTGGCTCACAGACCGAAGGGTCTTGGGTTCAATTCTGGTCAAGGGCACATACCTTAGATGCAGACGTGATCCCTGGCCCCGGGTGGGGCACGTGCGGGAGGCAACCAATCGACTGATGACTCTCTCTCTGTTTCTCCCCCTCTCTTCCACTCTCTCTGAAAATCAATGAAAAAAATATACTCAGGTGAGGATTAACAACAACAAAAAGAGTGAAGGAAGGATGGGGCTCAGGTAGGAAGGCAAGTGAGAAAAGACAGTGACCTGGACTGGGACGGTGGCAGTGGATACGGAGTGTAGGATGGATGTGATTGTGATGTATTTTGGAGATAGCGGGGACAGAACTGCTGATGGAGTGGACATAGAGAGTGAGCGGAAAGAGTAATAACTAATGAGCCCAGGTCATCACTGGCTTGAGTACTCAGGTAGATGGAAAAGTGTGCCACATGCTTAAGTTAGTCTGAAGCCATAGTGCAGGTGGTTTTTAAGCCAGTCCTGTGGCTGCTGGCATGGCAGGCCCAGGTATTTAAGGAGGGCCTGGCAGCACAGCCATAATCAGAATCTGAGAGCATGGCTGTACTAGACCGTCAGGGCTGGGGAAGGCCGACTCTGTGTCAACAGCCATGACCAGGGCCAGCCCCCTCACCTACCCCCAAGATGGCCTTAGGTGGCCCCACTGCTCCACACAGCGGGAGCACTCACTTACCTGATTGTGCTTGGCAATGGCCTCATAGGAGCGCCGCATGGCCCAGAAGGCCTTGGCTTTCTCCCGCAGCGAGTGCTCCATGTTCCTGCACTTAGCCTGATGGGAAGAATGAGAGAGAGGCAAGGAGGTAGGTTAGGGGTGGAGGCCAGACTGGGAGGGCGAAACATTTACAACTCGAGTTCCACTTCCACAAGGGTACAGCTCAACCATAACTACTGAACCTACCCCGTCCACACACTGTAGGGAACAGCAGGAAGTATGGCCCTGACCTTGAACCATGTTTACAGCATAAAGGGCTCTCAGATATCCTCTAACTCGACCGTTGCTTTATTCCTGCTACAGGTACAGAGGCAGGGCTGAGAAAATCAAGGGACCTATTCCCCCTCAAGTTGGTCAGAGTACAGCAGAGAGGGGATGCATCCTGCTCAGGCCTACAGCTGGTCCGGACTCGGCCGTGAATCTGGAGCTGTGTGTTTGACTGTAAAGACCATGTGCCCACAGCCTCCCTTTGTGACTTTCTAAACTGGACTGGCCTGCAGTCACTAATCAGCAGGTCCAATTACAGGGTTCATCCAGTTATTCCCACGGGCCCTTATCTAAACTGTCTCGCACATCCCAACCTTATTCCAATATTCTAATTGTGCCTTGACCATGTGAAATACTTTAATTAGCAGATTCAAACACCTTTTTGTTTAATAGTTTTTGTTTTTCAAACTTTAACCACTGCTCTGATCTCCTTGGACTCCTTGAAGCACTGGGACTAGTTTTAGGTTGAATTCTCACCCTTTGTATCCAGAGCCCAGCATCTTCTCTCTATATCTCTTTCTCTCTACATTCTAAGAAAGCTTTTCAAGTTTTTTATTTGTTTTGTTTTGTTTTGAATCCTCACCTGAGGATATGTTTCCACAGACTTCAGGGGGGGCGGGGGAAGGGAGAGAAACATCGATGTGAGAAACACCGATTAGTTGCCTCCCATATGCACCCAGACTGGGGATTGAACACACAACCTTTTGGTGTATAGGATCACGTTCCAACCAACTGAGCCACCTGGCCAGGGCTCGAGTTTTTTTCTTTGAAAAAAAAATAATGAAAAATAACAATTCTAATAACATTAATTATAAATGACTACCATTTATTGAACATTTACTATTTGCCAGGGACTATGCTAATTACTTTACAAATTATGTCACTTAATCATCATATCTCTATTAGGTAAGTATTATTATTAGCCCCATTTTAAAGATGAAAACAAGTGAAGCACAAGAAAGGGGAAGTGATTAGCCCAAGGATACACAGCTAGTATGTGGCAGAATAAGAATGTGAACCTAGACCAGGGGTGGGCAAACTTTTTGACTCGAGGGCCACAATGGGTTCTTAAACTGGACCGGAGGGCCGGAACAAAAGCATGGATGGAGTGTTTGTGTGAACTAATATAAATTCAAAGTAAACATCATTACATAAAAGGGTACGGTCTTCTTTTTCAATAGTTTTATTCATTTCAAACGGGCCGAATCCAGCCTGCGGGCCGTAGTTTGCCCACGGCTGACCTAGACAGTGGTGGTAGGCAGCCCCTAAGACGGCCCCAGTGATCCCTCACTCCTGTGAGATGTCTATTGTTTTAAGCTATCAAATCTGGGGGTGATACACCAATGTTATACACCAATAGATAACAGAGATTTGTCTTCAAAAGCCTCATTCGCACCTGGACCTGATTTGAATGAGATGATTCTGGATTTTGAGCAGATACTATGATGAGGTGAGACATATGGGGATCTTACGAGGGGGTGAGTGTATTCTGCATGGGGGAGGGATAGGAATCAGTGGGGGCCAGAGGACAGAATGAAGCAGGCAGCCTATAAAATGGCTCTAATGATCCCCACCTCCTGGTATTCATGCCCTGGTAAAAACCCCTCCCCTGCGGACTAGAGCTAGTGATTTGCTTCTAACCAATCAAATGTGGCAAAAGTGATGGGATGTCACTTGTGAGATGAGATGACAAAAAGGCTGTGCACACCTTCTCTCCCTCTCTTACTTGATCTGGCCTATGGAGCAGCCCATGGGGCAAGGAACTGAGGTGGTCTCCAACCAACCTGAAACCCGCCAGCCGCGTCCCCCCTCCCCCACAGCGAGCCTAAACGGGGGTCTTGGCCTACTTGAGCCTTCCGCTGAGACGCGGCCTCGGCAACACCTTGATAGCAGCAGCATGAGACCCTGAGGCAGAGGCACGCAGCTAAGTCATGCTCACATTTCTGACGCACAGAAACCATGAGATAATATATATATTTTTTGTTTCAAGCGGCTATGTTTTGCAGTAATTTGTTACACAGCAACAGATAACTACTTGCCCATCTGTCCTACTCCACAGCCCATTCTTTTAACTGCTATGCTACAGAAAACAAGATAATGACTGATTTCATTTTCTGCAGGTTTTGTTTTCTTTTCATTCTGGATATTTTTATGTTCTTCTTGGGAATACTTAATAGATTTTTTAAAGCACTGTTTTTTTTTTTTTTGTAGTATATCACCACTTAATGTAGTTTGACACACTAAGGTGGTGTGTGTCCTCAATAGCAAAATAACATTAGTATGAGTGTCCCACACAGCCACTGAAATATCATCCTGTTTCATTATATTGTTACAAAATCATGCGATAAAGTTCAAGAGGACAATTCTATGATTGTCCAAATAACTATGAATGATAGAAGTGAAGCAACTGCCCACACACATTACCTAGTGTTGTGCTGCCCCCAAACACAGCCCGACCCTCTGGCCTTCAACCTTGACAGTTAGGGAGTTGTAGGACAATGAAGATAGATAAGAGGGGGTGACAGTCCCTCGTCTTTCCCACACTTTTCAATCACCTAGAGATTTCTGCTTTAATGCAGCTGGTGAGATGAACAAAAAATGTTATTATTGTCAGCAAGCAGTTATTATTGAGCCTGTTACATTCCTGTAAGGTAGTCCCTGTATTCCTATTATGCAGAGGAGGAAATAGGCCCAGGGGAGCTAAGCAACTTGTCAAAATTACACAGACTGTAGCAGAACCAGGAATTGTACTCAGAACTGTCCAATTCTACAGGCCACATTCTTAACCACAACACCACACCCTATTTCAGTATTGTTTTCCTCTTTTCAAACCTTATAACTTATTTATAATTCCTGATTTACTTTATTAGCTAGGATCTCCATTACAAAATTGAATTGAATTGGTCAAAATGGGCATTCCTATCTTTTTTTAAAAAAAATCTCAATAAGAAAGCTTTCAATGTTTCACCATTAAATATCGTATTTTTTGTTATACACTTTTTGTTAGATACCCTTAATCAAGATTAAGGAACTTCCTTCCATTCCTTGTTCACCGTTTTTTTTTTTCCTTTTAATTCCAAAAGGATATTGAATTTTGTCAAATACATTTTTAATCAATTGTTATGTCATATTTAAGTGGCACAGAATTGGATTTTGGTTTTCTATTTAGTCTAACAACTTTTGTCACTGAACTGGAATATTTAACATAATTATTGATATATCTGCATTTAAACTTACATTCTTGTGCTATTTGCTCTGCTTGTTCAATATTTCTTTTTCTGTTTCTTTTTGCCTTTTTGAAAAATTTACTATGCATTTTTATTTCACTTTTCCCCCTTCTCTGCATTTAGTGGTTAACCTAGAAAATACATTAAAAGTATGAATTCAAATGAATCTAAACCATATACTTTTCATGTTTGCTTTTGATATTCTAGTTTTAACATACTTGTATCACAACTGGACCCACCATTCAGGGACCCAATTACCTGCTGGTAGCCCACGAAATGCCTGAATGAGCAGAAACTGCAGGGTCACTAATGAGGGCTCTAGTGTGAAGCCCATCTGGACTAATAGTTATCACTGCCCTGGGTGGCTGAGTGGCCCACGACACATCTGGAATGTCACCCAGGCCCCAAACCCCAAAGAACAAATGAGCTCTGATTTGGGCATCAAATTATAACATTCAATATTATTTAGTTATCAATACACAGAACAAATAAAAGAAAAAAAAATTAAAAAAAACAAATAAAAGAAAAAAAATTAAAAAAACAAAATACACAGAAAATATGAAGTTTTTATTTACACTACAGGATTCAGAATGTGATTATATAGCCTATATGGATATTTTAGAAATTACAATTTGATTCCTTATGCAGCAAATTTCAATAGCATATTTAATACATCAAGGATATTACAAAATGGTTTTACCCAAATATCGGTTAACTCAGGTGCTATAACAGAAAGTGGGAACGGTGAAGGTGCTGGTAAGAGAAAGAATAACTATGATTTCCCAAGATTGTCACAGGACCCTTGCACGTTATCAAAGTGCTAGGGCCGTGTCTGAAGCTAGGGCTGTCAGGCCCAACCCAAGTTTTCTGTCCTCTGAGGTCCTATATATGCTTCTGACTTATCCCTACTGTTTCACTCAACTATCACATCGTAGCCTTGAAAACAACTCAGGACTCTTCATTTCCTCCAGGAAGCCAACCTGATCTCTCAGGACAGTTCAGATGCATCTCCGTGGGCTCTCACAGCTCCCGGGTACACTCTATCACCCCACTCACTACTCTGGATAATCACCTCATGCTCTTGGAAAGACTGCAGGCTTCCTGGGGGCAAGTCCTAACACCATGTCCTCTCAACCTACCAGAATGGCGCTCAATACACGCTTGCAGGAGTGAAGGCTTGCTCTGCAGGGGTAGAGACTGTTTTGCCTACTGCATATCCCCAGGTCTTAGCACAAAGTAGACGCAAAACTAACTACTTGCCTAGTCAATCAGTGCACTGAACACCCATGTTCTCTCTACTATGACACATCACCTCCTGGATTGGAAGCTAGAAAAACTGATATGCACCCTTGTTTTTGTCACTAATCACTGGTGAAAACTTCTCTCTCTGTGGCTGTTAGGCTCCTCAACTTCAAGATGAAAGCATGCAAGTTTCTATGGTCTCTCAAATTTTCCCATGAAAATGATGAGTGTAGTTTCCTCTGTTTATGTTTACTGGTCCATCACCAGGGTTTCCTACCATCTGCCTCTAGTTCATGCCTTTTTTCCTATCTATTTCAAACA